TAGAACTAACATGACATCAGCTAGAACTAACACGAGAACCATTAGAACCAACAGGGGATCAACTAGAACTAACATATCACTAGATCTAACGATTATATTAGAAATAACACTAGCTGGAAGTAGAACTAACATGAAATCAGCTAGAACTAATACGAGAACTGCTAGAACTAACATGAGCTCAACTAGAACTAACATACCACTAGAACTAACGCGTATAATAAAAATAACACTAGCTGTAATTTAGAACTAACACGACATCAGCTATAACTAACACGAGAGTCACTAGAACTAACATGGGCTCAACTAGAACTAACATACCACTAGTGTTAGACCCTAGAGGGGGGGTGATTAGGGTCTTATGCTAATCTAATCCGATTATATGCCAATTAAAAACTAATTAACAAGTTATCCTAGCAAGTATAAAATATAACAATATATATGAACTAGGATAAGCAATGTGAACAATGAGATATATCCTATATGATGAATATATATATGCAAGGATATATAAACTAACACAAGGGGTAAACAATCTAAACAAGATAGTGGATGATATAGATAATGAGCTAATTACAATGGCGATATAAGATATGAACATAAATATAAATGAACGCCAAAGCACACTCAAACACACTATATGATCACGGAGTTCGGACCTTCCGTCCTACGTCTCCGCTCCCCACTCCCGGGGGGAAATCCACTATCACAACTGGGTTTTCTACGCTCACCCGAATAACGTTTACAACCACACTATGTCGGTTTTTAACGCTCACCGTACAACGTTCACTCCTCACACTCGGTTTTCTAGTTCACCGAAAACTTCACAACACACTCGGTTTTCTAGCTCACCGAAAACCTTACAACACTCACAATGTAACAAATATAAATTTGTTCTTTACAATAGATGAGAATTCAATTAAGCACAACTCAATGTTACAATCTCTCACAACCCTAATATACTATGTATGCAAATACAATAAGCTCAAGTGGGTGTGTGTAAACAATGAGTGAAATCAAAATAAAAACTAAACTCAATTAAAATCTAGCATATAGAAATTATAAACAAAATAATAAA